AGATCACCAACCACGGCGTGGTCAACATGGTCCACAGCCTGCCCAACCTGAGCGTCCTCAGCCTCTCAGGCTGCTCCAAGGTGACGGATGATGGTGTGGAGCTGGTGGCTGAGAACCTGCGGAAGCTGCGCAGCCTCGACCTCTCCTGGTGCCCTCGCATCACTGACATGGCCCTGGAGTACATCGCCTGCGACCTGCACAAGCTGGAAGAGCTGGTGCTTGACAGGTATGGCGCCATGCCAAGCCATGCTGTGCCATGCCGAGCATGCTGTGCCATGCCAAGCCATGCCAGGCCATGATGAGCTGTGCCAAGGCATGTCGTGCCATGCTGAGCCATGCCATGCCATGTCAAGCCATGCTGAGTGATGCCAAGCCATGCCAATGCATGCCATGCCATGGTGAGCCATGGTGAGCCATGTCGTGCCATGCCATGGTGAGCCATGCCGTGCCAAGCCATGCCATGCCATGTTGTGCCATGGGGAGCTGTGCCATGCCATGCCGTACCATGCTGAGCCACACCAAGGCATGCCACGCTTGAGCTGTGCTGGAGGCAGTGGGTGCAGCATGGGGGCCGTGGCCTGGGGACACCCATGGGTGCCCTGCTCCTGGCCAGCCCTGACACCCCGTGTCCCCGGCAGGTGCGTGCGGATCACCGACACTGGCCTCAGCTACCTGTCCACCATGTCGTCCCTGCGGAGCCTCTACCTGCGCTGGTGCTGCCAGGTAGGTGGGGGAACAGAGCCGTGCCCATCCTGGCTGGCACAGCAGGGAGGGCAGAGCGGCTGGCACCTCCCTGGGGACGGGTCTCGAGCTCAGGGTGGGCACCCCGGGCCGGCTGGAGCCCCTGCGACTTGGTGCTGGGAAGTGGGGAAGGGATAGGGTGCTCCTGTGAGCTGGGCTCAGCCCCAGCACCCTGCCCCAGCACCCAGCTCCCTGCCCCAGCATCCCACACCCTGTCCCTGCACCCTGCTGCTGCTCCCTGCCCTGGCACCCTTCCCTGGCACCCAGCACCCTGCCCCAGTGACGCTGAGCCCCCAGTACCACAGCGGCCGCCCCCCGTTGAGCCCCCCCTGT